AGAAGCATGCCTAGGCGCGTTGGAGAATGCGTAGCACATCAGGGTGCATCCACACATTATTAAAAGTCAAAGGGCTTTAAAGCAGTGCAATCATTTTGAAATTTTTATCATTTACTTATTATGCTTCATTAAGTACTTATACAAAATTATATTAAAATAAAACCATTTAAACTGGGTGTTCAGATTTATATGTCACGTAGTATATGATTTCCTCTGCACATACGTACGGCAAACCCGTATGTAGTTAATCCAATCAATTGCAGTCAGTGTAAACGTTGCCAGCTAGCCGTCCAACAAACTGGTATATATTTCCATTTAAGAAGGAAATAATAGGATAAAAGCAAATCCTAGACAGCCCTAAATCGACTCACAACGAAATTGAGTTTTAACCAATTACGCTATTGTGTTTATTCATGGAATTCGTTTGAGTTTATCGACGGGATTTCATAGAGATAGATTGATCGTGCATCGATAAACGTCGTAGTTTGAACTGAATACTTTTTGAAGAATTATTGTGGACAGAACTAGCAACCACCGAATGTCGATAGTCAATACTTTTAATCTCGTAATAGCATTCGACACTGTTTCCTACATTGTTTCTGATGAGCTCAATAAGATTGGAATTCTAGGTAGTGCTAACTAATAGTTAACCCCAAAGTTGACGATAAAAAATCTGCTGAATATGACATCGATTCCAGAACAGCTCTAGCCAGTGTCTCAGGACATTTGATCTTTTTATTGTTCGTTAATGACCTTCCTTTGATGGTACACCGTTCTTATACGCAGATGGCACCTGTATAATTGAATCAGCTGAACAAAAATAAAAAAATGTTATAGAGGAATTTGATGCTTAAAAGCCAAGGCTGTCATTTTAGACTCACATCTGTCTTGGAAAATGTTAGTTTGTCATGAATTCTCTAAAAAATGCCTTAGATACTCAAGGCTGAAGAATATTTATTATCCGTCTGGATATTTTGATATTTCACATTGTATTGTCTTGTGGGAACAGCCTGTTTTTATTCTCTAAAAAAGATCATCCGTATAATTTTTAAAATTCACTGTCATCTTGCACGGAAATAATCAAACGTTATCGAATACTTACTGTGACATCAAGCTATTAGTGTATTTTTTGCAAAATAAAAACAATTTCATTTGCATTTTATTACATGTACTATAAAATGTCCCCAGTTTATGCAACCAATCATATCAACTCAGCCGCTAAAAACTGTGGAGAAGAACCGCCTACATATGCGCGATACGTTTAGCAGAGCGTTAAGGTATTTCTGTGTGGCTATTTCTTTTTACTGATAAGAACTTTGGAACGAGTGTGTCGTGTTTTTTTTTGCGAGAGTTGTGATAGAAATGAAATCCTCGATTTGTATTGGTTGAGTCAGTACCGCCTATTACATGACAAAGTGTTTGTAATATGTGTTAAATGGTGGGTGGTTATGGCAGTATTTTCAAATGTTAGATGATCTTCCAGTTGCAAGAACGTTTCTCTTAATAGGCGATTTGATTTCTTACAGTATTTGGTTTAGGAAAAAGAAATATATCTATAGATTTCGATTTTTAAGATCGCAAGATATATAAAAGACCTATTTGAAAAAATATTTCTTACTTTTAATTTTTAATATACAGGGTGGCGCATCGAAAACGAAACAGACGCGTTTACTGGCAGCTTATTTTTTTTTTTTGGAAAAACGCTCACACCCGTCGATTTTGTTTTCGAGGGGGACACAAGTTATAAAAATCAATGATGCACGTTGAATTCATAAAAACAGAAACCACACATTTGCCGAAAATGCGTAATGACCTCTGAATAATTTCATCCAATATTGTGTTTATGCGGGAAAAACTTATTTCTGAAACAACCCTCGTATTTCTCTGGACCCTAATCCGCACCTCGCCTGGGGTCTTTATCGATGTGTTTTTACAATCTGGAACAATACATAACGATAATTACTACCCACATAAATTGGTAAACGTCATGTTTACATGTTTAAAAGGTTGAGAGGTTATGCTGCTGTGTACAAACACTTAAAAAGTGTCAACTATCCTATTCTTTAACTCTGACTTCCCGTAGCTCGTTAAGGCACACCCTGTATATTTGTGTAACAGTAGTTTGCTCCTAAGTGAATCTAAATGACCGAGGCAAATACTAACGTAGGTTCTTGTAACTCACACGTGCAGTGTGGTCTTTCGCTTTTCATATGCGCCATGAATAATGTATAAAATCATGGAATTAAACTGAATGTGGATAAACATCATAACTTTCAGGTAACGTTTTATGAAGCATGAGATGTGGAGGTGAAACTCTGTTGATGTTGCTCTATTATTATCAAGTGGGTTTATTCTGAAATGGGCATGATTGGGCTTGGGGAATGGGAGTACAGTTGCTTGTAGGTTATTGTGCGATACAGCAGATTGATTCAGTATTCCCCACGCAATCTTATATACTAAATGAAATAGCAAATGCAACAACGACTGGCACTGCTGTAATTTTGAGTATCGTTTTACAAGTTTTACATCTACTGATATACATAGAAAGTGATTAAAATTTTCACTAAAAATTTCGCAAAATAGCTGAGATATCCCACCTTAATGTTAATAATGTGTTGAAGTTCCTCTGTCTTTCACCACGTCTCCTCCTTACTCTTGCACCGCCCTCATGTGTGCCCAAACACACGACTGATTTCCACTCCATATTCCGTTCAAGCCTCTCCTTACTCCATACCAATCGTTGCCGACGATTATGTGGGGTCAGAGGCAGTACCGAAGTTGTTTTACATGTATGTGATCCCGTTTATCATGTAGATCTAATTATTTAGCGAAAAATTGCAAAACTATGCGTTCTTTCCGACTTTAAGGTGCTAAAAATCCATATTTACTATCGATGGCTACATGAAAGCGAAGCTTTGCCGAATGAGGTAATTTGGGGCGCTGAATATGAATATCACAGTGAAAAAATTCTAAAGTGTTATCAGACTGAATTTAGGGTGAAAAGTTGACAAGAAACTATTTTTCCGGGCTAGCCGTAAATTCTAGCAATGTATCGACATCGAATTTGGAATCTACGCACCCGATTTACCTAGAAGACAAGCTTTCATCCGGATCATAGACGTGCAACAGTTTTTAGATATTTTTGATCAGTCGATATTTTCGACAACAAGGAAGAACATCTTGACAGACTGTCAAAAAGTGACATTAGTCATGATTTGGCCCATTTAGGGAGATATGACCCGCCTCAAGTTAAGTGAAACTCCCGGTCCTATAGGTATATTTTTTATTGTCGTATATCACCTAATAACATAACCCATTAGGTCCCCGCCACATTGTGCCTGTATACGTTCGATAACGAATGCGACACAAAAGCGGGAGATACCATCTTCTGCTTGACCGTCCAAGTCTACAGAAGTAACAGAAGTAACATCACTGATCGAAAGATTCAATCACCTGCCAACCTTCTTAGAAACCAGATGTGGAACCTTTAACTCTCGTAATATTTGGTCGTTAGAAAATCCAAGTTCTGTAAGACTCCACTCGTTTCAACGCAGATCTTATAGAAATGTCTGGTGCGGTATTTTTAATGTTTACGCACGTATTGCCATAACGTTTAAATGCAAACTCATACTTAGAGAAATACAGCAGACGCTCGATAATGTAAACTAATTTAATCCAAGTGTGGTTCACATTATCGAAATGTTTACATTAGCGAACGTGATTTATATAATATTTGATTTATTAAAAGAAACGTTTAATACATACTATTTATAACAAAATAAACAAATATTCTAACAGCGATAAGTATTTTTTTAATTAGAAGAAAAATAATTAACAATTTTTGTCTGCGTAAATTTGCGCTTAGCATTGTCTTCCAATGCCTGCGCCCGTAATTTACGAAGAACTAAAGTATCCGTGTATGAAACTTCTTTTCTTTCAGCCCAATCTAAAGCTTGGTTAAAAACTTGTATAGCTTGCGCGTCAGTCACTTCTGACTTCAATGGGATCGTTCTCATCATCCTCACTGTCCATATCCTCCTCCTTATCGGCATCATTCGTCTGCTTATCTTCGTTCCATAAATTAATATCAGCAGGAGTACAAACAATGTTGGGATTCACTGTTTTCAATAAATCAACAACATCCAATGACACACTAATAACATTATCATTATTGGATCGCAAACGTTCTCTAATTACGCTTAAGGGGACATCGTCTTCTTCATCATCTTCATTATTGGTGCAAAAGAGATTGTTCCAACATTTTTGAATAGTTTGCTGGTTAAGTTCATTCCAGGCCATATGTAAATTTAAAACAGCTTCTCGTAATGTCACTTTTTTTAAAGCCTCAGATAAGTATTCAGGATCCTTTGATAATACAGATGAAAGTAGAAACTTCCTATGGTATAGTTTGGTGAGTCTTATTATATTCTGCTCCATCGGTTGAATTAACGGTGTTACGTTGGGCGGCATGTACATGACGAAAATTGACCCATCCCTGCTCCTCAGTTGTTGCTCGGGAGGATGACTTGGTGCATTATCCAATAGTAACAACGCTTTTATTGGAAGCTTCTGTTGTTTTAGGAAACCTTTTATCTACAAATTGAAAACACATCTTCAAATTATGAATAGAGCATTTGTGATACTTGATTGTAATACCTGAGGGACAAAGCACCTGTGGACCATTTCAGGAATATACTGCTAGTCATCCAAGCGGTTTTTGAACAGTCATAATCAACAGGGATATTAACATTTTTTAATGGGCGCGGATCATTTTGCTTTCCCAATTACCAGTGGCTTTCTTTTGTGTGAACCATTAGCATTAGTGCAGGCTAGAAACGTTATTCGTTGTTTCTCCGGCTTTCTTCCCGGGGCAGATTTTTCAAATGATAACATTGGTAACATTTTCCAATAAAGGCCACTATCATCTGCGTTGTAAATTTGTTCCATTCTGAAATCTAGCTCGGTAATTGTTTTCATCAATTTTTCTTTGAATGGTTGCTCTAATTGTGGTTGTGCTGATAATTTTTCACCAGATATAGACAGCAGTCGAATTCAATATCTTGTTTTGAATCGTTGTAGCCAGCCATCACTAGCTACGAAATTTTCAGTTTCTTTTAGTTTTTCATTTAACAGTCTCGCTCTCTGTTTAAGTACTTCGCCACTAACTGGGACATGATTTTTCCGTTGTTTTAAAAACCACTTATACAGGGAATTTTCCATTTTAGGTGCCTTCGCATTTTGTAAAGTTTTTCTTTTTCCCGGACCTCCAAATGTATTGCACGTTCTTTGTGAAATTTGAATTTTCATACGCTTAATTTTACAGACTGTTGCTTTCGATACATATTTTTTTGCTAACTGTGTCACTCCCGCACCTAGTGCAACTTCGTCTATGGTTTTCACTTTCTCACTCAACTTTAAACACTTTCTTTTATAGGATGTAGATGCCATAGTCGTAAAATATATTAACGCGTGCAATGTATTCACTTAAGTTCAAAAATGAAATACATACGTACGTATAAACGTATCCTAAACGATCATACGACTGACCGAGTTTGTCGTATTTTATCGCAGAGGTGAATCCCCTACACTCTACATCATAAATCGGGGACTCCCCGACGCCCGACATAAATCATGGAGGCTTCTGCATTTTACCGTCGCGCTGTTTCCGTGCGCCGAGAGTTGTTTACGTTATCGAGCGTACACATTGTTTACGTTATCGCGCATTCCGTTTGATCCTATAGAACGAAGTTTGTGTTTACATTAGCGCAAGTTTTCCTTATCCCGTGTTTACGTTATCGAGCGTCTGCTGTACATAGAAAATGTGTATGATGATGTTCGGTTAGCAGCGAGAGTATGAATGTGGTATCACCACGATGGTGCCCCACCGTATGTTTGTCGTGACATAAACGCATGGTTAAATAATCATTTCAGACAACGATGGTTCGACAGAAAAGGACGCGTATATTGGCCTGCGAGATCTCCTGATTTGAACACCCCGGATTTCTTTTTGAGAAGCGCTTTTAAACAACCAGGGTATGCCGAACAAATTAATACTGTTGATCAGTTACAAGAAAGAATAGATACTGCGTGTCATCGAATTCAAGCCACAAAAAATTTTGTGGAACTAAGTTTTTCTTTATTAAAAAGATGCCGCCCTTGAATCCGTTAGAACCGTAGTATTTTTGAACATTTATTGAAATAAAGCTTTGATTATCTAATTTGTTTTTTATTTTTACGAAAATAAGGCACTCTAGGCAAAAAACACAAGAGTAGTTATTTGTAGTAAATTAAAAATAAAATTTCGTGTTCCGGTCCTGTGTATGACGTTTTATTTTTGATCACGACTTGTGAATCATCCTGTATGTCTGAAGGTAACAAACCATTTTTTAAGTTTGAAGCTTTTAGTTTATTTTAAAAACATCCATATACGAATACGTCCCTGTTTCTTTAATATATTTAGTTCTCATTGAAAACAGGATTTTTGTTGTATTTCCTTTATACTGAAGCCTCTCTTGAACGGACACTGTCAGTCGGCCCCGTTGGTGTCCGGAGATTTGACTGTACTTCATCGAATTGTATTGGCAAAACATCAAAATACAAATAAAACACTTGATAGAATGCAAAATCGATAACACAACGGGCATGAAATTCGATCGGGTTTTGGCCGTCGAGTGAATCTACTGCAGGTGTCTGTACACTTCGGTATCGCCGGGCGTACAAAAAAAGAAAATTTCTGGGAAGGTTGGCTGTGACTTCTGCATCGCCGATCTTGGTCGCATTGTATCTGCGAACACAATGCTACAACTCTCGGTTGGGTGTCCGACGAACACGAAAAAAACTTATTTTTAGATTCTATAGCATAAATGGCTCGAACCGTTGCACTTCTCTTGTTGTGCGTGTCTGTTTGATACTGTCACATTTTTAACTGCCACAAACTTTCGTGTAATGTTCCTTTTTTATCGTTCTGTCCGTCTTGGACTTGAGTATGATACTATGAAGCTCCAATGTCGGCATGCATTTCAAATGTAATATGCGGATTCATCAAATGACTTTTACTTATTCATACTTAATTATCAATTTGCGTCTCTACACATCTATTTGAACCTACTCTCAACAGCGGCTCTTAAGCAATTAGAGCTTCGAAGTTCCAAAATATTTCCTAATCAAAAATGCATCCTTAAAAGGCTATTTCAACCTATTTTCAGCACTTATTGAGCACCCTTCTTACAGCCCAGATAAGCAAGTGATTACAATCCCTCATCTGCCAATGTTTTAAAAGTTACAACTAAAGTGTTAAAATAAATAACAATTCTAATGTAATAAATAATCTTTCCTCGTTTCATAAATATTCCTGTGTGTAGCCTATTTGGTATCTACTAATATACTAACCGGGAATTTTTTTACCTGGACGAATCATACATCTCTATTATCGATTATCGTCAAGACAGATAAATATACAAAGTAATCTTATTCAAGCTTTTTTTTATTTCTAAAAAAAAAAAATAATATGCTAACCAATTTAACAAACGCTCTCAGAATGTATCCCATAATTTTCAAATAGCGTTACAATTTTAGACGGCGTAAAATAAGTTTTCGTCTTGGCGTTGAATGACAAAATACCACACGCGTCATTATTCAAATTGTTTCCTGGAACAGATGTTAGTTCTACCAAATGTCATCGCGAACCCGAGCATACTCGGTTCTTTCAACGATTCCTGTATTTTCTATAAATGCGACTTGGTCCCGCTCCAAAATCTCCCCTCAAACATATTACTCGCCAACTTTACCAGACATAGCATAGTTGCTATTAACTGTGATAGTCCAGTGAAACCAGGCATGGTTTGACGCATAGAAGATTGTACTTATTTCAAAAGACAAAAGGAGACTGAGTGTTCTTTACGTATCAACAGCAATAAATGATATAATGAAATTCCAATTTGGACAGACATTCTCTTGAACGGACGCGGATACGAGAAAATGCTCTCCTAACCGGACAAAAGACAAAATAAAAAGAAACGCCTTGTCTTATTGTTTTCTGTTGAGAGAATCGCTAATGCATTTCTTTGGTAAACCGGGGATTCACCGGCTCTAATATTTTTTCCTTCCCCGAGTTCGTCTGCCGATTATCTGCTTCATAAACTATCGGTACTGCTGTCTACATAACCTAAAATATTACCTTTGGCGTCTGAATTGAACAAATCGTTGATATGAATGTCGAATAGAATAAGAGCAAGTATTGGCCTTTGTGGAAATTCGTTTCCTTGCTAAGAATGTTTTGTATTTATTTATACAGTTTATTTTGTGTTTAACATACAGGGTGGCGCATCGAAAACGAAACAGACGCATTTACTGACAGATCAGTTTTTTTTTTGAAAAACGCTCAGACCCGTCGATTTTGTTTTCGAGGGGGACACAAGTTTGGCAAAAAATCACGTTAGCACGTGCAGCCCCCTAAGCGGGGGCGACACCACCCCCAAAATCTTAAATGGAAAAAGGGGGGTCGAGTGATACCTTATTTTAAAGGTCTTTCAATTCCCTTTATAATGATATAAAATTAATGTACTTCAGTTCAGTAGTTTTGAAGGTTTGTTGATTTAAAGCTTAAATAAAACTAATACACCATTAGTGGAGATCAATACATTTGGCAGCAAAGTAATTTAAAATAGTATTTCTTATTGCAAATGAGACGACTTATTAAATTATTGCCATTGGTTGGGGTACCAGAAACGATCGATGTTCCAATTTGACCGGACCATGGAACCGCAGGCAGAGGCATAAACGCCTTGGCAGCGAGTTAATTGATAGTCCGGCCTACTGGGATTGTCAACATATTTGTTATTCTACCAGGAGGATTTATAGGCTCATAAATCGCGGGCGGCTGAGTCTGAACGGTTTTTCGCGCGATTTTCTTCTTTCCAGCCAGCGCTAACGGAGATTGGCTTCTATTACGGCAGCCTCGTTGATTGGTTCGCCTACGCCCGACGACTGTGCGAGCCTTTATTGGCGTCGCCGTGACAAATCGGCACAAAACAATCAGCGGTGAAGCACTCTAATGGAAAACTTAATATACATTTCCAAACTCCATGTTGTGACAGCCTTGGATCTGTTTGTTTTTCATACATTTATAATAATTGATAATAATAATATTGAAGCCATTGATTGCCCAAGAGCAATAAAAGCATAGTACAGAAAATTATGAATTTTCAGTTTATTATTCAAAATATATATCACGTGTTCTATATTTCTGTAAAGCTTATAAAATTTTTAATCAGACAAGAAACAAGATACAAGGACTCCCATTAAAAAAAATATACGGTATTAGTAACGATAATTACCGTATAGCAGATAACTTTGACAACCATATCCAAAGAAACGTCAAGTTGGTATCAAGACCTCCTATTTTATTTTGAAACTAATCATATCTTGCCTCTTGATGAATGATCTAATCATGAGGACATCATAAAACCAATGATGGTTGAAAAACTGTTCGGCTTCTATTCACAATTATACTAAGTGACATATAAATCCAAACACCCAGTTTAAATGGTTTTATTTTAATAAAAGTTTGTATAAGTACTTAATGAAGCATAATAAGTAAATGATAAAAATTTCAAAATGATTGCACTGCTTTAACGCCCTTTGACCTTTAATAATGTGTGGATGCACCCTGATGTGCTACGCATTCTCCAACGCACCTAGGCATGCTTCTGATCAGGTGGTCAATGTCCTCCTGTGGTATCTCATTCCAGGCAACCACCAACTCCTCTCGAAGTGCTTCTAGAGTCTGAGGAGGACGTTGCAAATTGAGCAATCTCCTACCCATCATATCCCACACGTGCTCAATTGGGGATAAGTCGGGAGATCTTGGTGGCCATGGTAACAATGTGACATCATTATGTTGAAAGAGGTCTATTGTAACTCTTGCAACATGTGGTCGGGCATTATCTTGTTGGAAAGTTGGATCTGCCAGGGTGTCAAGATAGGGTAAAAGATGGGGTTCTAGAACTTCGTGGATATAACGCTGCGCGTTCATGTTACCTCTGATGAAGATTAAAGGTGACCTGGAACCTTAAGGTATAGCACCCCAAACCATAACTCCAACAGTGTGATCAACATGTCTTTCAACAAAAAACTGTGGATTCCTCCTTTCACCACGTCGCCTTCTAACCCTGGCACGACCATCGTGCATGCCTAAACAAAATCGGGACTCGTCACTAAAGACAATACTGTTCCATTCCTGATCCCAGAGTGACCGTTGTCTGCACCACTCAAGGCGATTACGTCGGTGTTCTCGATTTAAAGGGAGGACCCAGTGTGGCCGGTATGAAAACAAGCCAAAACTTCTCATTCGTCGGTAAACACTTCGCATGCCAATAGGTGTTCCGTGTTCTGCAAACCATTCATTTGCAATGGACCTGGTAGTGGAGAAACGGTCCCTTAAGGCCAATAATCTTAGGCGGCGATCTTCACGGTCTGTTGTTCTACGGCGGCGTCCAGTGCCCCTTGCTCTTTACGTATGGCCTTCTCGAAGCCATGCCTGACAACACCTAACCACAGTGTCTACACTTCTTTGCACTCTAACTGCAATTGCCCGAAAAGAAAGTCCAGCTTCCCGAAGTCCCACTATACGGCCCCTATCAAACTTACTAAGTTGACGAAATCGTACAGGTCTCCGGACTCTAGGCATCGTAACCGATCGTAAAGGATGTCAAGAACCAAAATCCGCCAACGTTGATTCTTTACTGCGGCTGAAATATTCATTTTTAGAGCGTTAGTGAATTAAAAAAAAAGCAGTATAAAAACCGGAATGTCCAACTGATAAAGCTGAAAATTGTTTCACTTGTTATTTACAGTAAGATAAATACATTCACCAACTTTTATTAAAATAAAACCATTTAAACTGGGTGTTCGGATTTATATGTCACTTGGTATATCTAGAATCATTCGCACTTAAATACGAATTTAATGACAGAACTATCAGAAAAATTATGTTAATTTCACTTTTCAGTCTAAATTTGTTGAAGCTTAGATATAGGTTAGAAATCACTCTCAGTATACACACTAGCTTTTTCTCCTTGATGATAGACAGATAAGCTTCTGATAGAATATTAAACAGCAATCATATAACTCAGAAGCTTTCTGAGGCAGTACAAAGCCGAGAACGTTTGACTGATTGAGCTTAAACGTCAGACATCCGACAATAGCCGCCTTGATGCGTCTAATGGCGGGTTAATATCCAATTTAGGCTACGCCTCTTGAATGCGGCCGCCATTTAGGCTAATTACGCTAAATTAGGTGGAACCGGCCATAATCATATTGATATATCTGTTATCCGGTTTTGATTTATTACCGCCACTGCCCGAGATCAAGTCGCCTGGAATCAAAGTATACGGGTTATAGATAGTAGAGTCACGCTCTTTACAGATATATGGTGTATATGTCCTGAAAGTTTTGGCATAAAATATTTATAATTTTTTTTTAATGAAGAAATTTATTTAAACACTAACTAGTTATCATAAATTACAACTCAATAGTCAAGTAAAAAATATCTTTTAGTCATAAGTACCCTTCGTGGTACACCAGCGAAATTATTAGGAAAGTCAAGCATAAAGCAAAGTTATACAAAAAGTACAAAAAGAGTCACAATAACCATCTACATGAACAGTACAAACGTCTTAGATTTGAGGTAAAGCGTCAAATATCTGTCGTATATAAAAATTATACACGTAATGTTGAGATTTCAATCTCTCAAGATCCTAAACATTTTTGGTGTTTCATGCATACAAAAATCGAACTACTAGGATTTCTGCTAAAATGAAGTAGAATGAACGATCCTTACTGTGTCAATTCATTTGCAGATTTTTTTAATAGTGTTTTTGTTGATCCATCTACTCGTAATGATCTTATTGAAGGCAGGAATCCTACTAGTCAGGTTAACATATTTTTCAATGACATTCATAAAAATGAGATTATTGCTGCATCTGATAAACTTAAGAATAGAATAACGGCCGGCCCAGACAACATCCCCTCGTTCATAGTCAAAGATTGAATTCATATCTTTGTTAAGCCGTTATTAAAAATATACAATCTGGAGTGCCTCAGGGTTCAAATCTTGGTCCTTTATTGTTTACCTTATTTATTGATGATGCTGTGCATTATTTAAGTTGTAATAAGTTCCTCTTTGCGGATGACTTAAAATTATTCAGGATTATTGATTCTGAGACTGATTGTATTGCACTTCAGCGGTGATATTGATTCTCTAGTGGCTTGGTGTTTCAAGTGCAGTCTTTAGAACTGAGAAGGAAGTGTGCATCGATTATGTTGTTGCATAAACTACTGCAAAATCAAATTGATGCTAATGGGATTGTTTTTGAAGGCACCCATATATGTGATGTGTGAAACTTTCAATGCAATATCAAATTATTGTGCTGTACGTGCTGACAGTTTGAACAGCATTTTGGGAGTGGCTAGAAATTGCTTGGATAATTTATGATATGTTACTCACCTGTGTGAAATATGTTTTTATTGCTTCTTTCTCTTGTTTGTTTTTTTCTTTAGATGAAATCACCTGTTTTTTATGTGTTTTCTGTTCTTGTTATTTTGATTTATCTTGGATTCTCCTGTAAATGGTTTCCTTAACTGTTGGGCAACAAACGCTATTTATTTATCAGGCCTCCTACTTCGGTATAAAAAAGAAATCCCACATTACGTTCATCGATTGACCTGGCTAGATTTTGTTTGCGCGTCAAGAGGTCACAATCTAACAGGCTGCACCAACAAATGATAATATAATTAATAAGGTATATTCCCCATACGTGACAAATAATACACAACACATAAAATGCGTTTCCATCTATGTCTGAAACTAAAACTAGCACTACGGTGATTGTGGTGATTTTAAGTTTTCCATAATAAAGAATTTTACGTCTTTTTTTAAAAACATGCTGCAGATTCAATCTGAATCAGAGACTTGCATACATAAATGTACACAGCGCTTATATGCTTTCTCCGAATGGTAAGTTTTTATTTGTCAAATACGTTGCTGATACGATTATCCTATATTATACTAAGTGACATATAAATCCGAACACCCAGTTTAAATGGTTTTATTGTAATAAAATTTTGTATTAGTACTTAATGAAGCATAATAAGTAAATGATAAAAATTTCAAAATGATTGCACTGCTTTAAAGCCCTTTGACCTTTAATACTGTGTGGATGCACCCTGATGTGCTACGCATTCTCCAACGCGCCTAGGCATGCTTCTGATCAGGTGGTCAATGTCCTCCTGTGGTATCTCATTCCAGGCAACCACCAACTCCTCTCGAAGTGCTTCTAGAGTCTGAGGAGGACGTTGCAAATTGAGCAATCTCCTACCCATCATATCCCACACATGCTCAATTAGGGATAAGTCGGGAGATCTTGGTGGCCATGGTAACAATGTGACATCATTATGTTGAAAGAAGTCTAATGTGACTCTTGCAACATGTGGTCGGGCATTATCTTGTTGGAAAGGTGGATCTGCCAGGGTGTCAAGATACGGTAAAAGGTGGGGTTCTAGAACTTCGTGGATATAACGCTGCGCGTTCATGTTACCTCTGATGAAGATTATAGGTGACCTGGAACCATAAGCTATAGCACCCCAAACCATAACTCCAACAGTGTGATGAACATGTCTTTCAACAAAAAACTGTGGATTCCTCCTTTCACCACGTCGCCTTCTAACCCTGGCACGACCATCGTGCATGCCTAAACAAAATCGAGACTCGTCACTAAAGACAATACTGTTCCATTCCTGATCCCAGAGTGACCGTTGTCTGCACCACTCAAGGCGATTACGTCGGTGTTCTCGAGTTAAAGGGAGGACCCAGTGTGGCCGGTATGAAAACAAGCCAAAATTTCTCATTCGTCGGTAAACACTTCGCATGCCAATAGGTCTTCCGTGTTCTGCAAACCATTCATTTGCAATGGACCTGGTAGTGGAGAAACTGTCCCTTAATGCCAATAATCTTAGGCGGCGATCTTCACGGTCTGTTGTTCTACGGCGGCGTCCAGTGCCCCTTGCTCTTTGCGTACGGCCTTCTCGAAGCCATGCCTGACAACACCTAACCACAGTGTCTACACTTCTTTGCACTCTAACTGCAATTGCCCGAAAAGAAAGTTCAGCTTCCCGAAGTCCCACTATACGGCCCCTATCAAACTCACTAAGTTGACGAAATCGTACAGGTCTCCGTACTCTAGGCATCGTGACCGATCGTAAAGGATGTCAAGAACCAAAATCCGCCAACGTTGATTCTTTACTGCGGCTGAAATATTCATTTTCAGAGCGTTAGTGAATAAAAAAAAGCAGTATAAAAACCGGAATGTCCAACTGATAAGGGTGAAAATTTTTTCACTTGTTATTTACAGTAAGATAAATACATTCAACTTTTATTAAAATAAAATCATTTAAACTGGGTGTTCGGATTTATATGTCACTTAGTATATTATAAAATAGTCTATTCACATTCCGAATTCTTAGTAGTATAACACCTGAAACCATCTGGTTGCCTGGAAGGTCCAAATCTGGAGGTTTCCTCCTAGTGTGATTGTACTTTTCTTAGTCTGTATACTTTGCTTGGTTGCCTCTATTAAAATACCGAGTCGCTGTGGCGCGATGCATTTGTTTTTTTTGTCCAATAAAGATTGTCGATATAGGGTCGTTTATCATTTCCAATAAATAATTTTAGTAATTTAATTTCACCATTTAGATTAAATAACATAGTTCCAAGCAATTAGAGGATATTACGATTTATCTCCTTATTAAGGTTATAGAAATAGAAGGGAAAGCAACAACCAGTTTTATGTCTGAATGCGATTTTCATCATTTTTTAGTTACAGGATATGAAACAAGGCAAAAAATATTGTGAAAGGCCATATGATTTTTTACGGAAGGCAGACAACAGAAAGCAAATAAGCTGGAGCTACTGAATTTTAACTTCATGTATGTTGGGTTGTATTTCACGTAGAATGCAGACTGGATTTTTCGGTGCATTCAAACATTTTGGAACTTAAAATTTGTTTGCGCTGAAGTCACATTAGTGTAACATCAGGAATACTTATTAATCTTTTTTCTGTCGATCGATGCATATATATTCCATATCATGAATGCAATAATATAAATAAACAAATGAACAGATTTTATCACAATATTCTTTTCGTTAGTTGTGTCTTACTTTTTGTCGTTAAGTTTGTCCCACTTTTTGCATTAGGTTTGTCCCACTTTCTTTCGTTGAATTTGTGCCACTTTGTTCGTTAGGTTTATCCCACTTTTTTAGAAATGTCCGTCCCACTTTTTTCGTTAGGTTTGTTCCACTTTTTTCGTTCGCTTCCCAAATATATCGGTAAGCCATGAGATTTTTAGTTTTCTCAACAGCATGAAAATCTGCCCCAAAGTACACAGCTTTTCCCTTATTTAACCTAAGTTGTATCTCTTACACGTACAATGGACCTCCGGTAATCCGACAAACATTATGCAGGTCAGTGTCGGACTATCGAATTTGTCGGATTATAGAGCTCTGCCTAAGATCGCCTATAGTCCGAAATTTGTTACAAAAGAGTACCTTGTAAAACGACAAATTACATATCCAATGGTAAGATTATACATGTATATGTTATGTATATGTATGTACTATGAAGTACAAATCATACCTAGTTTATGTATGTCGAATTTAGTAAAATAAATAACAATAGAGAGCTTACGTTTTATTATAAAATTAAGCATAAATGCACATACATATGTATGTACCAAAATGAACAAGAATTAATAATCAAAATCATTAATGAATTTATCAAATTATGAAGCTTGGAAATACTCATCAATTTTTTTTGTTTAAGGTTGTTATAATGCGAGATCAGAGCTTTGTCCCTCAGTCTTCTCAAAAGTAAAAGTTCGTTGTAGGATGTACCATTCTCTTCAGCCCATTGTAAACCTAGCGCAAAGGCATCAATTGCGTCATGTGCTGTGACTTGTGGAGCAGTTGCAATCACGTCGTCGTTATTTTCCTGATTGTTTGTTGTATAATTAGAAACCTCTTTTATAATCTCTTCGTCAGACATTTCATGAAAAACATTTTCCTCTTTATCCATTCCACGGCACCAGATTTCCAAATCTTCCGGACTTATCTGTGTTTCAGTAGCGACTTGTTCTATAACTTCCGAAGTAACACTGATTTGTGGAACGTTGCTAGGAGTGGTGACTATATCTGGCCATAACTTTTTCCAAGACGATTTAATAGTTGATGACGGTAACGCATTCCACAACTGACAAAGAGCAAAAACCAAGTCTTGCATATTAAATTCTTTTAAAGTTTTTTCTATTGGTTGGTCTTTTGATACGGCTCTCAGAAGTAGGTTTTTCTTATAGTCTTGCTTGACAAACTGAATGATATTCTGGTGCATTGGTTGAATCAGTGCAGTGCAATTTGGCGGAAGAAACATCGCAGTGATGCATTTATCCTCAGTTGTTAGTTCTTCTTCAGACAGATGACCGGGAGCGTTAAGAAGCAACAACACTTTTTGAGGAAAATTATGATCTTTTAACCATTTTCTAACTTCAAGTACGAAGCATTCATCAAACGACTTTTTGAAAAGGTCTTTTGTGATCCAGGCACTTTTTTGTCCGTAATAGTGTACAGGTAAATCAATGTTTTTGAATGCCCGTGGTTTATTAGATTTCCCAATGACCATCATCTTGAGCGCGTGTGTGCCCGCATCGTTAGCACTTGGTAGTACGGTTGCACGCTCTTTACTTACTTTTCGTTCAGGTACGGATTTTTCGATATAAGAAACGAAAGTTTTGTTAGTAATCACACGCCAAAAAGCCCTGATTCGTCTGCATTGTACACCTGTGACGGGTCAAGATTTAAGTCGTTCACCTTTTGCAAAAATCTTAATTTAAAGGGCTCTATGCAGGTGGCATCGTTAGAAAGTTTCTATCCTGTAATAGTCATTAAACGTATGCCATGACGACTTTTAAAACGTTCTAGCCATCCTTTTCTGGCCACAAAATCATCTTTTTTTGTTATTTCCTTATAAAAAAACTTAGCTTTCATGGCCAACATGGGTCCTGAAATTGGTGCTTGCCTATTTCTTTCCAGAAGTAACCACATGTACAAAGCTTCTTCCACTTCTGGATGTTCAGCTTTCTTGAGTGTCTATCTCTTGCCTGGCCCGCAATCAGTAGTTGACACGAACTTCTTGATCTTTTCGTGGTTTCGTTTAATATCATAAATTGTAGATCGGCCTACGCCGTATTCACTTGCTAAACTATTGAAGGTTTCATTGCGATTTAAGCGGTCTAAAATATCACATTTTTCTTTAATTGTCAATATTTTGTGCTTTCGCTTCTGAGTTTGTGATGACATTACTAGGTACTCTACTTAATACACAATGAATAAATAGTAAACAATGAACGCACGCTAGGCCGTACCGCTATCACCAGTGGTCAAATTCAAACTAAGTAAAACAATGCTTACGCGTCGAGCACGATAGCGGTGGCGCGTACAAGTTGTGACCTGTTCAAACCTGCGTGATCTACATTAGCGAAGATTGTCAAATACGTATGTATGTAATACATATTCGAAGACATGTCGGATTACAGGGGGCGCCGGATTAGACAGGGACCGGATTATCGGGGGTCCACTGTAAATATTATATTGTTGCTCTGGAATATGACACTGGCTTTTGACATCTGACAAGTCTCTGTTGTTCAAATCTAAGCTAATTTTTGCATTGAAAAATGTGCAACTTTATTAACTTTCACTACGTACTAAACATCAGTGAAATATTTGAAGCGATTCTGAAAATATTAATTAATTTCAATTTTTTTCCTAAAACTTCAACACCCCGAGTTTTTGTTAGGAAACATTTTTGGACCGTAGTTTATAAAGCAAACTAACATTAATTTTCCGTGTAGATTCACACCCTTAAATATCATATCATTAATGAACACCCTGCATATCAACCACAAAACGTATAACTTGAATTGATGAATCCTTCAGAAACCGCTGTCGTACGCCTCTGCGAATATTAAAAAAGCCCATCCCGAAAACCCACATACGCGCAATTTTCCGCCAGCAACAGCTCACTGAGCATTACGGCGGCATCAAGAGTGAAGTAGAACTTATTCTTGCCTTAACGGCCGACAATAAAACAAAGCCTCGCCGTACTGAAAATTTGCATCGACTCGAGTCGACGTATTCTGCAACCACGCTTCTCCCAAGACAGGCGCCACTGAGGAATAACTAAAGAGTTGTAAGCCGTAAGAGCAATAAAGGCACCTGAAATATTGTTATACAACGCCTGGTTGCTACCTACTTCGGTTAAAACTGTTATTTTATTTGTCTAGACCTGAAGGACTCGTAGTATTGTCGGGAGTGTTTTAGTATAAGAGACAAAAGTTTGTTTTTTACAGCTTTAAACCTTGTTAAATTGATTTCTGAACTGCCTAAGGTTAGTAGAAATGCGGGTAGATTGTTCCATAAACTAGACATCCCAGGGACAACGGAGCGGTCGTATCGCCCAGTTCGGGATGTACGAAGTTCGATGCGGTTAGAATGGCAGGCAAGCTCATCGTGCAGTAGGATCGAGTCAAATCGCACGATCTTGGTGGCCATGGCACATTTCCTCTGCGCAATCACGCGATCACCGAAGAAGGACTGCAATCGATGGATATTGACGTTGGTTGTGTGGCATGTTGCACCGTCTTGTTGGAAATAAACATCGTGCATATCCATTCCTTCAAGTTGCGGCAAAAAATAGTCCTCTATCATCACGTGATATCGCTCAGAATTGACGGTAACGGCGTTCCCGGCCGCATTTTCGAAAAAGTAAGGTCCGATGATGCCTTTTGACCACAATGCACACCACACAGTCACTTTTTGAGGATGCATCGGCTGCTCTTGATACTCACGGGGATTTTCGTTCGCCCAGATGCGGCAGTTTTGCTTGTTTACCGTCCCATTCAAAGTGAAATGCGCTTCGTCGCTGAACATGATTTTTGATGAAAAATCGGCATCAATTTGGCGGTGTTCAAGGAGCCAATGTGAGAACGTTCGGCGCGAAAAATGGTCGGCCCCACGCAGCTCTTGCGTCAATTGGATCTTGTAGGCGTGTACATTCAAATCCTTGTGGAGAATGCGGAGCAAACTGGTTCTCGAAATGCCCAATTCTTGGGATCGACGCGTTGTTGATTGTTTCGGATCGTCTCTCACACTCTCATTCACAACAGCAATATTTTCCGGTGTGCGAACGCTCGTTGGCCGGCCAGAGCCTGGCAGATTTACCACAGAACCTGTTGCCTCGAATTTACGCACCAGACGACCGATGGTTGTTTCGTTTGGGCGGTTGTTGCGACCGAAATGTTCACAGAGCGCGCGAAACGTTTTTTTTTGCACCATTTTTGTAGTGCTCTTGAATAACTTTAATGCGGTCTTCAATCGAATACGACTCCATAGCGATCAATGGTAAACATTCAACTAACAAAATGACATGTCGGTGACAGAAAACAAAGATGGCGTCTATGTCAAATTGACGTTTACTTTCCTGCGTCCCTATTGGACAACCCTTTATTTCACAAAAGGACGTTGGATTCTCTCGATATTTTTACAGTGTATATCATAGGCCGGGTACCACCATATAATCAAACAGTATTCTAAAATAGATCTGACAAAAGCATTAAAAAGTAAAAGTAATGTATTAGTATTATTGAAATGTCTACTGTCTCTTATAACAAAACCAAGATTTTTAAAGGCTTTTGCTATTGTTGTATTAATGTGATCAATAAAAGAAAGCTTTAGATCGAATAATACGCCCAAATCCTTGTCGGTAATAACACGACAAAGAACATTGCTACTGATTTCAAAATTAAAACATGTCGGTTCCACCCTGCGTGTAAACGTCATAGTAGTACATTTATTGACATTCAAGTGCATGTTATTTACTTTACACCACTGATCAATGACATTCAAATCAGCCTGTAATCTTAAACTGTCTTCTAAGCAGCACACGCTATTAAAGATTTTGAGGTCATCGTCATATAGCAGGTACTCACAACGCAAGTCTGCTGTAACATCATTGATAAAAATTAAAAATAATAGAGGTCCCGGAACAGAACCTTGGGGCACCCCTGATGTAGCTAAAACTGCACCAGACTTATATTCACGGAAGTCCAAGATGAAAAGTTTATATAAACATAGGTCCAGGAATGCTTCATTTTCAAACTTTATTTTAAATATCTTAATGAACCTTCAGTCGATTTTGTTCAAATTTAGCAGCGGCTTAAGAGCAGCAAGTAGCTATTTTAGCCCCAATTAGATTGAAATTGCTAAGGCCAGTGGGGTCCCAAGAAACACCCTAACCAATATCTCTGAAAAAAAAAAACTTGTTTGCCACTGAGTATTTTCAAAGCTAAAAATGAAAATTTTTGGTCTCCTCAGTTTCTGTCATATCTGGCTTCGTTTCCGAGATAAACAATAAAAAGCACTTTATTGCATATCTTTTGATGTCTTTTGAATTTTTTTCCGTGATTACACCTGCTTTCGATGAAACAAATAAACGTAAAATACAGGGTGGCGCATCGAAAACGAAACAGACGCATTTACTGGCAGAGCAGTTTATTTTTTGAAAAACGCTCAGACCCGTCGATTTTGTTTTCGAGGGGGACACAAGTTTGGCAAAAAATCACGTTAGCACGTGCAGCCCCCTAAGCGGGGGTGACACCACCCCCAAAATCTTAAATGGAAAGGGGGTCTAGTGATACCTTATTCTAAAGGTCTTTCAATTCCCTTTATAATGATATAAAATTAATGTACTTCAGTTCAGTAGTTTTGAAGGTTTATTGATTTAAAGCTTAAATAAAACTAATACATCATCATTATTGGAGATCAATACATTTGGCAGCAAAAAAAAAAACTGAGCTGCCTGTTTCGTTTTCGATGCCCCACCCTGTATGTACACAACGTTATTTATTGTTGCAATGTTTTGCCAGTGGATAAATAACGGATTAACTACTCAATTAAAAAAAAAAATGAAGGAATTGAAAAAGTCAGTGACGTTTCCAATGGTATATTCGTTTTTTCAAATGAAAAATTCCTTGTGCCTGAGAAAAATTTGCGAACCCTATTTTCGGTACAACCCTCGTATTTGCCAGAAAATATCTATCCGGGTCCGCATTTTCCTCGGATTATAACGAAATTAGGGGTAACGCCCTGTTTCGGTTACCTAGGGAAATATATGTTTATTAGACATTGCTTTATTCTGGTAATAAACGCAGGGACACCGGGCGAGCAGTAAGTAAGAGAGTCGTAAGAGACCAGACCGGAGTGTCATAAATAAATAAACCGACCGGTTTACAATCAGATAGAAGCAGAATTTGTTGCTCTTTGGGTATGTTACGTAGGTTTTTCAATAAACGCTCAGCCACGGATCGAAAAATTGAGTGAGTTAGTGTGGCGCCTTTACGATAATATACCAACGCCTCTTTGGTCTACTAGATGATACAAATCGACGACGGTTTTATTGTTATATGGATCATTTCAGTAACGCCCATACAGTTGGAACTTAACGCAACTTTCCGTGTACATTTACTATGGTGTGTAAGTCCTAAAAGTGCGATATCCTACAAATTTTTACAAAATAGCGATAATTCGTAAAATCGTGCATAATCGGAGAAGACCATCGTTTTTATGGTTGGAAATGACCCAACAGTTTGATGTTTAATTTTTGAAACTCCCTGCATTGTACTGATGAGTCCAAACGAGGACGAAGCAGCTGCTGGTACTGTCTTTTATAGTCTTCGTTTCGTGATGACGTGGTTATCGATAAAGGCTGATGAGTATTGACATATTATTTTGAATGATGTTGAAATATTGGCGGTGCCGTCAGTAATGGACGATGTCTTAGGCCTTGGGCCCTGAAGTAATCAATAAATATTAGCAAAAGCTGGAAGTAGAAATAAAAATATTCTTTATCCAAGGTTTCAAGCGCAGTCTATTACAGTATCCCCGATGCATCATATTGAGTAAGTGATATACGTACACCAAAAATAGTATGGGTCCGAGAACCGATCCCTGGGGATCACCACGTCTAAAGAAATGGTATGGAGGTACATATTTGAAGAACATTTTTGCTTAAATGATGCCAAATCCGCTTCTTAGAAGTTAGGAATTAAGGCGTTAAGGTTCTGATAGATTTTCGTCAGCAATAAAAGAGTAATCGTATTGATATTCG